TCGCATATTCTCCTTTCTCAACGAATCTATACTTTGAGACAAAAAATCAACAAAATGGTTTTTTATGAGTGCTCCCAGCACCACATATGCACAGTTGGATTTCGGAATCAACTCTTCCCTGAAATTTATGTTTGTAATGCAACAAAAAAGATTACGGATATCAACGACCATGTTATCAACGGGTTGCGATGTGTGACACGCAATAGAGGGTCTTGTTCATAGGAGGACCTGCTACGTACTTGTCCATGAGCAACCTTGTTCAAGAATTGAAGCGGCAATCCATATGAATATCAAGTTTGAAAGATATAGTACCGCCATAGTGAAGTAGAGGTGCCTGAGTTCACACACAGAACCATGAATCAAAAGGAGAATAGTGAATTACTCATAAAACCTTCGTCTTAATCAGCATGATCTGGATCAACTTATATCCTTGATATTTACAGTGTGATTTTCTTTCCTTTGATATTTCCTGTATGGTGTTTACCTTCACTTTACTGTACTGCGTGTTTATGACACAAAAGATTACCCTATATTTATGTGCGTCATAAAAAATGAGCACCCGTTTAGAAATTCGACTAATTTATGAGACTATAAAGGGGCGTTTTGATAGTGCAGTAGACAGTTATGCAATAGAAAGCCACCGACAAGGTGCTGGCCCAGTGGTTTAGTCGCTGTCACCGGCGTACTTTGGACCCTGTGGTCCGAGGTTCGAGCTCCGCCACGGTCACCCAACTTTCGTTGTAGACAGCTTTGCTGTCGCCCGGTTTAATACCATGCCTGACCAATTGGGGCCTTGTGTGGTTCGCCACTCCAAGTCCCGGGGTTTAGGTTGCCCGTTACCATCACTGAACAGCAGGTCTTCGTGACTATGTGGTTCCACTCCGTTTGCCGTCCATCACACACCGGAGTGTAATAAAAGACAGTAGATGAGAAAGGTTAAAGCATGGCACCTACCACGCACATCCCGCCATTTTTCTTCCTGTGCATCGTCAACACTGACAATTTCACAGTCACTGCCTGAATCATCTTCTACCGAGACCACACTCTCACCAGCTGCTTCGGAGTTGGATCGTTCGCTTCCCGCTAGCTTTGAATCTGACTCTTCTTCCGAGCTAACAACAACAACGTCCGAAAAATCTGTCATTGAAGCGCTGGCTGAAAAATAAATGGAAAGGTATAATTAAATGTAAGGTGGTCAACCAGTTGATTTCACTGTTATAAAAACGCTTTGGATTCTGAGGTCCGTTACAGCGACCCGATTCCGGCTGTAGTTTTTTATTTATCTGGGACAATCTTACAAAAACCTATCCAATTGGTTAATGTGTAGTTCACCGATATATGTATTTATACATATAACTCCGGCTTTAACACAAGCACGGTGCCAACGCCACAATAATATCAGGGAATGGGGGATTGGGATACAGGAGAGGTAAAACGGTTACAATGGATAACAACAGATACAAAGATTTACAAATTTGTGTGCTAGCTTACCTTTATTTTACGGGACACTGAATTTCAACAGGCAGACCGCACAGTATTCGCGCCACTGACTTCTATTCTGGGTCATGTCTCTTAGCGTCTATAACCAACGACAATCCTCATTGCTCACCTTATGTTCGCACTGGACTTGGGCAATGCTTCGGAGACATCAGTGGTCAAATACAGAAAGTCGATTAGCATCTTCGGCTCGGAGGCCAGGTCTCGCAATCGTAAAGCAGAACACTATGAACCGCGGCGATGTACACCCTTCCATTAAGGACTAAATCGATAACAAGGCGGGACCGCAGATGTAGCACGTTGGCAAAAGCGGCTCCAGCTTTCGCTATTCGTGATGTAATCTCCTCCCTAACACCAACACCAGCTGCAATAAAGCTTCCCAAGTACTTAAAGTTATCAACCATTTCCAGCTGATCACCATAGAGGGTGAGGGCAGACACAGGCTCCTGCCAGTCTTCAACAAGCATTTGATGGTACAAAGCACTTACGATACCAGGATACATCTATCGCCAAGCAGTTAAAGGCGTGTCGGACGGTCTGTGTATTGCCACCCAACAAGGCGATCCTTCTCACGTACTCCAATCCTCGGCAAACGGTTCCATAATCATCAGTTCATTATCGTACAGCTAAATACAGTGAAGCGAACTTCACTGATCGCTGCCTAACTCGCGATGCCAGTTTCAGTTTCAGTTTTACAACCATTAACCATGCACTTTCGTGCGCGGGTTTTGGTTGCTGTCTTTTGGTTGCCCATTTGGATAAAATAGCGAAATGAAGATTGGAATGTTGAAGCAAATTCAAGCGGAAGATGGGTAATACATATAGTGAGATGGGGAACACATATAGAGTGTGTTAGGAAAATAACGAGTGGATGCACCCCAGTGTTTGCGAAATACATGCAGAGTGGTGTTAGAAAAATAACGAGTGGATGCACGAGCGCCACTGTTTGCGACACCCTGCCATATCACTCAGTGTCTCTGACCATCGGTGACCATCATCCCGAGGTCCCCAGCCAGGGAGACTAACGGGGCCTATGTGACCTAGTTAGGGTTTTCATACCCTCATGCCAGGTCTTAGTTTGACCGCCCTTTGTTTTTTTCCAATTGCTACCAGCCTTGGCAAACATCGTTC